TTTCCCTCTCTTCCTTCTACAGCTTGGATACGAGGCAGAAGGAAGGAGCCCCCCACCATCGAGGTACGTTTCCCTCCCTCCCTCCCCCCAGTCTCCCTGCTGTGCTGATGGTTGGACTCCAGAGGACTGGTTACATGGGAGGGAAAGAAGCAAAGATGGAAAAATGAAACTCTTTGATTTGTTTTATCTCACAGTTTGGAACTGAATCCAGTAACTTTGGGGGGCAGGTGTTAAAATAAACAGCAGCAGAAGTGCACTGATGGCAAGACTCAAAGACAGCCTCCGAACAAGAGGCTCACTGACACAATGTTTACTTTCTTTCTTTTTTTCCCAGTGTAAGCCTGAATTTTGGCTTTTTGTGTTTTATTTCTAGTAGTCTACAAGATTGGAATGTTGAAGAAGTCCCCCCCTGTACATCTCACTGGGTTTATTGCTCTTTAAATCTGAGAATGCTGGAAATTATTTGGCCAGTGAAATGCAGGTCTGTAGGAAATCCCTGAGAAGGCTGACACACAGGCATTCCTTCTATCTGTCTGTCCTCTGTCCCAGTCTGTGGCAAATGCCATCTCCTGCCTACTATGCCAGGACATTCTCTTCCAATTTTCTGCCCCTGCCCTTGCCCAATAGCTGCCATCGACAGCTGGGCAGTGTTGATGTGGCCAAGGCTTTACTCCCAGCACATTACCCTACCCCTACCCATAAATTGATTGGATTAAATAATGTAATTAACAGGTGGGAAAAGCAGCTCAGTATGTTTGTTGCTCTCCCAAAGGTGAGGCTTCTTGGCTGCAGCTCTCCCTCTCTCTTTTCCAGTCCCGCAGGTCTGCCAACACATATCATCATTATGCACAGCCCTCCCTTCCTTTGGACTGTCTGTATTAGGGAGAGGCTAACGCCAGTGGGCAGTAGCTGAGCCTTGAGTGGATAAGTGTTCCACTGGTGGACTTTGCTCAGGTTATAATTGTTTCCATGAGCTGGAATGGTTGTTTATGTTATGGATGCCTCCTGTCAGGCTAGTTTACCCGTCTGTTCTAAGCAATACACTTTTAAGTTTGTTGGAACAATATACAGCAGGTTAACTTGAACACTCATGTCCCTTTTCTAGTAAATGCCACATTTTATTCTGCACACGTCCACACATTTGTTCTTGGAAGTTGCTGAGTTTAACTTTGTCTTTTTGCTTTTGACTCACTGATGTTCCAGATGTTACACTGACACTGAACAGTGAACACTGAACAATACTCCCAAAATATGTTGCACTTAACTTTTTTAAATCATGGTAGAACATCTGCAGCACTGAAACTCTGGGTGATGATGTCAGACAGGTGCAAATGTCTGGACCCTTGGGCAATACTTGTACATTTTGTAAGGTATCCCGTTGGGGCCTGAGGCTGAGACTGCTCTTGCTTTCTGGACAACTTCTGCGACCTCACTGAGCTTAGGGACAGCAGCATCGAATGGGAAAGATGGGGGGCGGGGTGAGGAACGTAACCAGGAGATCCCAACGGAGTTGATCTTGCTGGGTCGCTGTATTGCACCCTGAAGTGATCCTCCAGCTCCAATTTTGTGATCCTGAGCTTCCTGCTTCTCCTGTCCTCTAGAAACTGTCTTGCATGCTTGAAGGGGTTTTCGAAGACGTTGCTCCTCTCCTTTTTCATCCCCATCCTGCGGATGCGCTTTGCTCTCCGCAGGCTGGCAAGGTTCTTCTTCACCTCCTCCCACAGTGGTTTTCTCCCTCGCTTGGGAGGAGAATATGCCACTCGAGCAGCCTTCTTCAATGCCTTCTCAACGGAGCATAAGATGGCACGAACATGGGTTGCTACCAGAACCTCACGAGCTAACCAGTCCGCTGGGTCCAGTAGTGGTGGGATCATTCTGTCACGGTGAGCCATCGACATAGCAGGAAGCAGGCAGGACCCAAATGCAGGACTGGTGCAGGTAGTTTATTTCAAAGATCAAGATTCCAAAAACCAGCACAGAAGCATACGCAGAGCTGAGCAGAGCTGAGAACAGGAACAGAGCTGAGCTGAGCACAGCAATAGACTTGCCCAGGAATAGACTAGGAACAGCTACAACATAATGCTCGACACAACGACAATACAGAGCACACAAAGACAGCACAATGATCACACAAGGCCAGAGTGAGGGAGAGAGGTATATATGCAAGGAGCACCAGGTGGCACAAGTGAGGCTAATTGCAGACACAGGTGAGTGTGATAACACAGATTACCCCACACAGCAGACAGCAGGAACAGGAAACAGACAGACCTGACAGTTTCAGGCCCTCCTTCTCCTCTTCGTCTGCTTTCCTCCACTTCTTTCGGAGCTGACACTGCCTCTTCACCAACTGCTCGATCTCCCTCTCCCTTCTTCCATTCTGCCTTGGGCCAATGTTCTGTCTTACAGCCATTACTCCAAACCTGCCTTTACACTCCTCGTAGAGGAAGTCTCCAAAGCAGTTTAGCTTGGTCTCTATTTGGCCACGTAGCGAGTGCTCTAAGATGCTAACCAGGTCTATATCCAGCTGCTGCCACACTGCCACCTCGTTGGCTTTGGGCCATTTGACTGGCTGGCGGCGGCCTGGGTCTTTCCTCTCCGTTCTCTCGCCCTGCCTTCCTTCAGCGACCTTAGCGACCTGGCTTTAGGCTCCTATTGTCTGACCTGCAGATGCAGTGCAGTGTTGCTGCTAGCCAATGCGCACTTCTTTTTTCCCTGGTGGATCCTTAGGCCCCTGAAAGTTGTCAGCTTCTCCCAGCCACACCTGCATTTTCGCATTATCTTGTCATCATTGCCTGTGTCCGTTCCAGTCATTACCGAAGAATCTGTCTGGGTTGGTCCTTCTTCCATCCCACCTCTCGGAGGGGTTGTTTCTCTTTGCTTTGCTTTGTAGTTTGTTATCTAAAATATATACACCATTTACATGTGTTTTATTTACATATACACATACATACGCACACATATACTGTATATATGTATATATATATATATATAAATATATATATATATAGTACTTACATACACATACATCAATTAACAATATCAATTCAAGCATTTTGACTTTCTTTTTCATCATTTGAAATAGCCTCAAAAACTAACAGACAGAGGGCTGAATCTCTAACATCCTGGAAACCTGTGTATCAATTACTAATTACAATTTTCTACCTTTCAGTGTTTTATTGTGAATTACTTGCTGTTTTTGTAAGGTTTTTAGGTTATAGTGAAAACTGTAGAAAATGTAATATGTGACTTATGTATATCTGTTTTTTTTTTTTTTTTTTTTTTTTTTTTTTTTAGGGGGTTTTTGAAAATCAAACCTTTTGGGGACAA